ATGCCAATTTTGAATATTCTGCACACAGTCATGAACAATCCCAAATTTTTTCTGTTGCCGTCAATCCGTAATTAGATTTTTAAAGAATACGGAATATATTTTATATACACTCACAGTAAGCTATTGACATATTAAGTTAATAAACTGGGCGCAATTTTCTCCCGAGTTCTCGTGTTTAATTTTACCTGCATGATTATTACAAACTAAAAGCGGTTCCACCAACATAAAATAAAAAACAACAGAAAAGGATTACCTTTTTGATCAGAAAGTTCCTAATGGAACTTTCTATTGTATATTCAAAATTTTATGGTGACAGAAATTCTATTATTTTAATTGCTTAACCTATGAAAAATTAATGATCCATTATTAGACGACTAGAGGAACAAAGGTTGCAAAACATCGCGTTTTTGTTGCTGTAAAAACCCTTATTCTGTCATGATACCATATATATTATTACTATATACTTATGAAAAATATAAAAAGGGGATCCACCTTCTCTTTTAAAGTCGCTCCAAATATTCTTCCTCTCTTTCGCCTCTCCCTTTTTCTACTCGCAAATTCATAAAAAAATGAGTCAAAATCAACAGCTGCACAACCAACATCCAATTCAGCAGCAATTATCTTTACAACAACCGCTTCAGCAACAACAGCAACCACCAAACTCGAATACAATGAATACGTTTATAAATGGGACAACTGATATACTTAACAATCATTCGAATATATCAAATCAAAACAACAGCAACAACAACAGTAATGATATTCCGAGCATTCTCCATGCGGCGTATCTTTAATATAGTACGTTGATTTTTCGAACTCTCTTAAGAGACACCAAATAAAACAACATTGACAACAATGCTATTTTCTGCACGATGTATCTTTAATATAGACTCTTTCTAAAGTCATTCGTTGATTTTTCAAAATCTCTTTATAACGAGTGCACCATATAAAACAACTTCGACAACAATGATATTTCGAGTATTCTCTATGCGTCGAATCTTTAATATAAACGCTTACAAAACTGCTGATTTTCGAATCTCTTTATGACGCACTGCATAAACGGTCTTGTGGTTTCTTTCTTACTTTGCATTTTAATTTTTATTCCATTTTAATATTTTTTTATTAAGCTTTTATAATTTTCTTTTCAAATTTTTTGAAACGAATTCTATTTTTATTTTAAGAATGAAACCTGTTTTTATTTAAAAACAAAATAAGTTTTTAAGCAACAAAATTATGATATGTTTTTAAGAAACAAAATCTGTTTTTTTTAATTTTAAGTCCTTAATATATATGTAGAGATAAAAGTAATTCGTTTTTCGCATTGTTTCGTGGTTGCTGTTACCGAGTTAAAAATACTCTGAAAATTCTTTTATATTGGCTAATATTAAAAAAATTTTTTATATTGGCTAATATTAAAAATTTTTTTTATATTAGCTAATATTAAAAAAATTTTTTAGAGTACTATTTGACTCAGGCATTATTTAAATTTTTTAATTTACGTTAATAGTCATTTTATTTCCAATCATTAACGTTAAACTTTAATGCAATGAAAAAGCTGCTAATTTTATATCGAATGATTTACTCCTAACGATAGAATATTATTTAAACGCCCGAGATTTTTAAATAAAATTGTGATAGATTTTTCTTTAATCCTAATCGCCGATAAACGTTTTCTCTTAAAACAGATGAATTTAGTGCGACACAATATCATTTTGATTAATGACTGTTCTGGTGTCCATTAAAATTAGAGAAATAAAATTTAAGTGATCGACATAAAATTTTAACTTTAAAATTGTCCATTATATTATATATCGTAATTATCATTTTTATACAATAAATAGTAGAATATTGTAACAAAAATTAATCGCGTCGCATAGGTGGTCTTTTAGGTCTTTCATCATAATCAAATTTGCTATTACCACTACTTCTATTAAATCGTGATGGCGGTCCTGAATCGCGGAAGTTTGAACCACCTCTTCGTTCCCTTGGATCTGGTTGGAACACTTTTGGAACTCTATTTGCATCAATTCTCGATCTTGGTGATTGTCTTTTTTCATAACTTGTAGGAGAGTTAAATTTGCGATAATTGATATCACCATCGTCATCATCCTCGTTTTTTTCTGATCTAAATTGTCTATTATTATTGTTAGCCCTAAAACTTGACCTAAAAGGCTTTCCTTCGTCATTTTCTTGTTCGAAGAATCTTGATCTAGAAGGTCTTCCTTCATCGTTTTTTTGTTCGCGGAATCTTGATCTAGAATATCCTTGTGTTGATTCATGGGTTCTTGTTCTTTGGTCTGCTACCTCTGTATTGAATCTATTTGCTTGAATTTTATCGGCATAACTGGGTCTACCCTTGGATTTCGAATAATTATCATTGTCATCCTTATTATATCCCGAATACTTTGGTTTTTCTCTTTTTTCAAAACCTGATCCAGATGAATCATCCTCGCGATATCTAGTGTTCGATTTTGATCCCCCGAATTCATTGTATTTAGTATTTTCTCGTTCGTCTTCCAAATATCTCTGTGTTTTCTTTGCTCTCGAGTCGAATTCTTCATCGCGATAACTTTTTTTTTCGTATTTGTCCTCGCGTGATCTAAATCTTTCATGAGGATCAAACTGCAATTTTGTTCTTCCTCTATTATAAGATTCTGCATCAGTCTTAATTCTCTTTCCGGATAAACTGATATTTCGATCTTCCCTATTCGTATAATCATCATAGCTTATCGACTCTTCTTCATCTTCATCCGTATAGTAATCTTGATATTTAACAGATCCTTTTGATTTTCGTATTTGCTTTTCGTCATCTTTTGATAAATAATCTTGTTTTGCCGAAACTTTTGATTTTCGTATTGACTTTTCGTCATCAGTTGACAAATAATCTTGTCTTGCTGATTTCTGTGTTGATTCTTCATTATATCCATGAACTCCCACCCTTGAGCCTATTTTCTTAGATGCCAATATTTCGGCATCAGATTCTTCCTTATCCTCTATCTCGAACGCTTCTATTCTTACTTTTTCTACTTCGTTTTCTTCATTCTCTTCTTCCTTCTTATCCTTTGTCTTTAAGAGATCTCGAAGTCTTTTCTCATAAAATTCTTTAAAGAATGTCCATGATTCTAATTTCTCATCCAACAACCGATCATCAGCTTTGTCCAAAGCCAAAGCATACGCGTTGGAAATTGACCTCAAAAAGTTTAAATTATCAATCTTAATCGGAAGCTTAGGAGGTTTAGAGGTTCTCATCAACGAGAAATTCAACCCGAATCCTTCTATCCGATCCAACGCCCAATGCAACTCTTTGATCTGAAACTTGGGTTGTCCAAGAACGCAATCAATTAACGAGCTTAGTACCGCACTATCGGGCGTGATTTGTCTCTGCTGCATTTCTTCGACTAAGTTTTTGGCCATAGTCAAGTCTTTAGATTGTTTACAAGAAAACATCAACGAAGCATAGGTTTGAACACTAGGCGTCAATTTCCGATCACGAATAATTTCAAGCAGGCTAAAAGCTCCTCTATAATTTTTTGCTTCATTATATAACGAGATCGTGGTATTCACGTTTTCAATATCGACTTCCAGTGTTGGAAATTTAATTCTTACTAGTTTAAAACAATCTATTCCCCTTGACCAAGCACCATCTTTATGACATATTTCAAGTATAATATTCAATGATTTAGCACTAAGTTGTAAATGGTATTCTGAAGGCACTATCATAGGTTGCTTGTCTAACAAATTGATCCCGTATGCTTTCTGAATAATCTCATATCCTTTTTTGGTTTCCCCATTATTCTTGCAACAAGTCAAAAATGAAGTCATCAATTGATCATCCATCATCAATTTTTCCTTGCCCTCTTCGTCTTTCTTTTCAGAATTCTTATCTTCTTGCTTCTGTTTCTCAAGTTTTTGCGTCAACTCATTCCAAAGAGCCAAAACATACTTGAAACCTTCGGGTCCAACTTTAGATTTATAACACGCATGAAATATTATCGTGTAGGTTTCATGGTTTGGCGAAATTTCACCGGATCGAAACAGTCGATCGTAGTGTTCGCGTAACGACTTGAAATCATTCACGCGATTACACGCGGATAATAACGCGTTCCCGTGGGCAGTAGTTGGACGAATTGAGGTCCCTTTCGCGTTTATTCGCATGCTATCTATCACAAAGCTAGTGTAGATTAGGTTATTAGGGAAGTGACATTTAGCTGCCATGCCATCTATGAGAGTCGTGTATATTTCTTGTTCATTAGGTAGAACTCCTCTTCGTTTCATCTTTATAAATTTCGAGGATGATAATGATATAGCAAAACTGAATAGTAAGTTATTATTTAAATCTTTATGAACTGCATTTTTTATATGTATTAACTCGAAAAGAATAAAATAAAAAATTATTAATAGTATGGTATACCTCTGCGAATACCCGAAAACCCATCATGGTTTTTCCCAAATTTATGCATTCCGTGATTAACTGATGCCAAACTTCCTGGAGTATGCCATATTTTGGAGCGAGAATTGCACTAGTGAATGCTTCAGTCAGATTTTTTTCCTTCAAAAAGTTCTGGATTTTTTCCGACAGTGCGACAACTCTAGGATCGATTGCATCAGAAAGAGTTGGCGACGTTTTTGTCGAGGCGGCAGCGGCCGCTGTTGGTTTTGTTGTTGTAGGTGATGATGGCGGCGGTGGTGGCGGTGATGTTATGTTCACTGAGAGCTTTTGCTTAGAAGAGGCTCTTGGTGGTGATGATGGTGGCGGCGGCATATTTCCTGGAAAGTTTTGTTTTGAAGAATAAACATCTGAACGATGAGCAGGTGAGGAACGAGTTGTGAAATTTGAGAATTGCGAAGAAAGTAATAGAGGAGGATAATAATGTAATGAAGAAAGTTTCGTTGTAATGCTATTAATGTTGCTGATTGTGTTAACGTTACTGGTAGGGTTATTTTTTTTGTTGTTGCTGCTACTATTGTTATAAGAATATAATAGCACTAACGACGAATTTTGAGAATGGATTTTTGAAGTTTGATTGACTAAACATAGTCGTGAAGACTTTGTACAGTTACGCGTTAAAAGAATCATGGTATATGTAAGAGAAGTCGCGCTTCAATAAAGATAAATTTTTTTAAATGAGTCATTTATTGTCATAGAATATGGTTTGATTTTCCACTTGTGCGTAGTGGAATCTTTATTTACAGTTAGAATCTTTAAATCAAATCTTTCAAAAAAAATAGATGAACTTTAAATACTTTAAACAAAAAATCCAATAAATGTTCTTATTCTATAATGATAAAATCTTCTTTGCGATTTCTAAGTCCAAAAATAATCCAATTTGATTAGAAACTCGCAATAAAATTAAATAATAAAAAAAAAATAAAAAAACAATACCTTCATATCGAATATTTCCTTTACTGTCAACTTCGACATTTTTAAATAATTCATCTACTTCTTCTGATGTAAGTTTTTCACCGAGATTTGTCAACACTTTTTCGCGCACAATTTATAGGAAAAAAAGTTATGATTGTTTTACTTTTGATTATGATTCATATCAATATTTACAAGTACTAATCAATTTACACACCGTATTTCAATTCCGAAGCGGCAATAAACCCAGTTCGATCTTTATCAAAGATTTGAAACCCTTCGATGAAATCTTCGTATGTGCCAGCCGGTGCAAATCCATCAGGACGATTTAGAATTTTAAGAAAAGCGTCATAAGTAACTATTAAAACAAAATTATTTAGTCAATCTATCAAAAAATATCAATTTTAACAAACTAAATCATCACACCTAAATAAAAAATTACTCTCACGTACCTTCTTTACCAGCCTTCTTTGCAAGCTCGCCAACCTCAGCCTCTGTAGGATTTTGTCCTAAGGCACGTAATAAATCACCTAAAGCCTCTGAAGGAATCGTTCCGTTTCCTTTCTTGTCAAATAGTTGAAATGCTTCTCTGTATGCTAGAATAATATTGACATATATATTATATTATTATTTTTACATGTGCTAAAGTTTATATTCCGTTGTGTTTACCATGTTCCGACGCCTATTCCCAATTTTTATAATTTAACAAGTAAAATTTAATATTTGCAATCAAAAAAAAACATCTAGAGTCTAATATGTGTAATTACCATTATGGAGGTTTAAAAGTTGGTATATGTCAAGCCCTTAATACGAAAATTTGTTTAACCGACTCGCATTTTTTCCTTTTACCGTTACCGTTACATGCGTATTATATTCGGTTTAGCATGAAATGAAGAACTTGATAAACCGAATATCTGGAACTCTCCGTTCACAAAGGCAACCCCAATAAACCGAAACGGTCGGGACTGTTAAAGGTTTATTTTAGTTTATCGGGAATACTTAATTAGTACCTCGGTTGACAATGTGCCTACACGTGCCTACACATGATTAGATTGTAGTGAAGCCTATTCTATTGGCTCGTCGTATGTATTGAACCAACTTCTTTGGAAAATAATTTTTTGTCTTTTTAAACATATAAAGGTTTTTCAAAATGGTTGGTGTCTTTTTTTTTGACAGTGATTTGCTAAAAGAGAGAAATCAAGAGAAAGGAAATTTGGAATGAATACAATGCAATCTTGAGAATTCTATATAAAAGATGTCGTGTCGATATTTTATTTTTCAATTTATTTTTTTGTTTGAACGAAGGACTAGCGGTCTAAGAATATAATAGATGAATAACTATTATTTTCATATTAAAATATGATTTAGGGTAAAGTCCACGGTTCATTAGCACGTGCTGGCAAAGTCAAATCGCAAACTCCAAAAGTAAAAAAGAAGCGTGAAGAAGAATCAGAAATCAGAATCAGGAAACCAAAAGTCGGACGTGCCAAAAAACGAATCTTATATAATCGACGATTTGTTAATAAGACCAGCATTGGTGGAAAGAGAAGAGTGAGTTTTTCTTGATTACGGTTGTTTTTGTTGTCAATTATTTGATTGTTTAATTAATATATATTCTAATTATAGATGAATCCTGCTCCTACCTCTGATAAACCTTAAATTAAAATTAACGGATAACCATGACGAAGCTTGCAAGCCTTTACTATTTAATACGTGATGTGTTACTGCTGTTGCAGCTTATCAAAAATGTCATTAGCAATATATCAATAATAAAAATAGTAATTATCACATTATAAAATACTGATCTGGTTTATTATTTTTGATAATAAAATTTTTTAAACAAATATCGATATATTTCAGATATATATTATGTTCACACTAATTTAGTAAGAAGATTTACTTATGCATCTTATTGATGAGAATTTAGAAAGTAAAATTATAAAAATTCGTCTAGGCTCAAAATATGTGAAATTGGACTTTCTTCGAATTTTATTTGTTGAATCAGAAATTACAGGCAGAAGCGAATTGATCAATCAATATTATTTTATAAAAATATTTATAGATATTCATAAAGCACATTATAAGAAAATAATATATATATGTATTATATTCAAAATCACAATTTGTTTCAAAATTATAATTAAAATATATTTTAAGTTAAATCAAATATAAACAATCTTCCAGCAATAGCCCATATTTTTACTTTAGTTCTAATTATATTTTAAACTGATTATTATTTAAAGCAATTATAATTTGAAATATCATATATATATATCATTATTATTTTTAATTAATATTATATAATTAATATAGTCAAATCTATTTATAATTACATCTCTCTATAGTTATATTTTTTTATAGTTATCTTTTTTGAGTTTTCTAGTTATTAATTAAAAGTAGCTCTTTATAGTTATATATTTTTATAATTATTTAATTTTGCTTTTTTAAGTATGATAATTATAAAGAAATTTAATTATATATATTAATTAAATTTGATAAATATTAAATTAGATCAAAAAATTCAGAGTATAAATAATAAAAAGTTAATATTTAATATTAAAAAATATATATTATTATAATATTACTTTATTTTTTAGAAATAAAATAAATTTTAAATTATCAAGCAGATAAATTTATCTGTTTAAATTATTTTTTATCAGTTTTTATATAATTATAAAAGATTTTTATAAGTATATACTCTCTTTTTCTTATGTAAATCTTTAAGTATATTATATTTTTGATTATCTTATAATTTTTTCTTATAATTTTTCTAATAAAAATCTAAATTTTATTCTTTAAAATAACTTTTAAAAAAATGATATATTTGATTAATAAATAAAAAAATTAAATATAAATTATAAAATATTATATTAAAATCAGCTTTAATATATAATATATAATGTATTTTTCTATTATAATAATAATTAGAATTATTTTATTAATTTTTATATTTTAAAATAAGAAAAAATTAATAATAATAACTTTTTTTATTAAAAATTATATATATATTTTTATAAATTTTATTTAATAATTAATTAATTAAATAATCTAAAATTTTATAAGAAAAAAATAAAAAAAATTTTTAATTAAATATATAGTGGCAATCAAAAATAATATAACGCTTAAATTTTTTACTAATTATAATTAGTAAAATACGTATTTTTTCTTACATATAAAAGTTTTTAATTTTACTA